AAGAGTGTACATATAAATTAAACTTTTTCAAGTTCATGAAAGAAATCTTAAAAGAAAAAAAAATTTATAAAACAAATTTTATTAATTAAAATTTTAAGCAATAATAAATGATATTAGACCAGTATGTGACTAATACAACTAAGTGAGAAAATTATTTAGTCTTATTCAATCTGATCTAAATTTGAGTACTTAATAATATTTCAGTATGAATTTATATACATTACAATTTTAAGCTTTGTAATATTATATTTTTAAAAGATTTTATTTAATTCAATCTGCTTCTTAGTGTACATTTCTCATACAATGTGTTAATATACCCTCAAAAATATGTTTCAGCACGACCGGTAACAGTGGGAGCGAATCAACGTCGATCTGCTCTTTCGTCCTGAAAATACAATTAGACGTAATTTTTGGCGTCAACATGCAGGCGGGTGCATTTCGTTCGTTCTCCTTTCCTCATGCAGCTTGGTGCTCGAACTAAAGGCAATTGTCAGACGCTCATTGATCACTCATTCCGTGAGGTAGAGAGGATGATTCGATGAAATGATCCGCAATTCATTACCGATCAATTTAAAAATTAGAGTTTCACTTTAATCTGTCAAAAGTTAACCGCATAATTGCGTCAAGCAACAGTTTGATTTTATTAATCGTACTCACAGTCATTTCGAAGTAAATAGAAGTGGATTCGAGTTGCAATAAAAAATCAATTTATAAATTTGCGCAAAAGTTTTATATTTTTATTTTAAGAAGATTAGTTATTCTGATTTCTTTCTTTAAAAAAGAAAGTAAAATTTTTTTTTTTTTTTTTTAAGAAACAGTAAGAAATTTCGGTCTAGCTCCGAATCAGATTGTATCATACACGTGCAAAGATATTAGACCGCGTTAATGATAGAAATGATGATGGTAAGAGGAGCGTAGATTGTTGCGTGCATGTGCAATGACCAGTGGTGTACCTATAGAGCTAGCTTAAGTGTCATGTGCGTATATTATCCACGCGTGAGCTATGTACATATTGTGGCTGATCTCCTAACCATTCGCAAGAAAGCACTCATGGAAAAGATTATCTTGATACGACTATTAATAGGGCTAACTCAAATATTTCATAGAAAATTAATTTTAATTTAAGAATCAACACTGATAATTTAAAATTATATATTCACGTACGTGTGTAGTAACTAGTAATTTAATATCTTATTATTAGATGTAATAGATAGTGATCTATTTCTCTGTTGTCATAAAGATTTTTATAAACTTAGCAAAAGATTTCATATCGTATCAATCATCCTTTTCACAAGTTGCGTGTCTTTTCAATAGGAATAAAGAGAAGAGAAAAGAGAATAACAGATAGAAATAATAAAGTTGGATGTAGGATGAGAGTCGTAAATAGGATAGATGCATTCGAATATTGAAACATTCGATCGTTTAAATATTCTACGTGACTTTCTCATATGGAATTATATGTATACGGAACTCACAACATCCGTATATTAAAAACTGTTATTACTATTAGTATTTCACGATTTATTTATATATATATTTCGAACAACGATCAATAATCATAAACGCAACAATTGCAATAATATATTGTAGAACATTAACGAAAAAATAATGTTTAATCATAAGTAAAATTTTTCTCTTATTTGAAAATAATATTCGTTTATCCAAAAATTGTCACGAAATATTGCATAATATCTGCGCATATATTTGTTTTATTTAATTTCATTTAGGTGCCTAATTTGCTTATTAATTTTTTCTCTGAATTTATATAAAATTAACACTCAACATGATTAAAATAAACAATTCATTAAATCTAGCAAAATCAAGTGATTGAAAATTCTATTAGACACAGTAAAATTGTTAATTTTCCGATTTGTAAAGTGTAAACGTTTATACCACTCGTAAAATATTTTTATAGTATTTATAAACCGCGTATTTTATAATATTTCTAAATATTTTATAAATTTTCTTTGTAGAGAAAACAAAATTTTTTCAATAAAAGAACTATCGTAAACAACAGTTAAGTCAGAAAGTATCGTGCACATTTGATATTTTTGTTTTATCTACGAATCAACAACATGCCACAATAACAAGAAATTCTCATAATCTTACTATACTATTGCAATGTCATACGTCTATATGTGCATATATATTTATTTTTTAAGAAATACTTGAATATTTTTATTTTTCGCTATTCAGCATCTATTTTCAAGATCGAATGTAGAAATAAGAATAGAAAAATAATAAAAAATGAAGAAGAATTGGAAGATAAAGAAGAAGAAGAAGAAGAAGAAGAAGAAGAAGGTGCTCTGGTGACCACTCCTCTCTAAGAAGCTAAGTTCTCGCGTGAAAGTTAGCCAATTAGGTATATACAGGTGCGTGTCCGGGCCAAACGAGAGCTCGCGAGCTGAGCTCTCAGCTTCATCTCTTTCACTTGCTGATTTTTTTTTTCAAGCTTTGGATACTGAGGCTTACCAGGTGGGACTCTGGGCTGGTGAAGGTGACCAAAGCGCCGTGGAGTCGCCTGTTTACTGTTGATCCGGCCTTCTTTAAAATGGTAGTCCAATAGCGTGCGTTGGCCCAAGTTCGACCACGTGTGGACGCACGAGGGTCAGCAACATCGAGAATCGATTTTAGAATGATCGGCGTCGCATGTTTGTGCGACGTTCATTGCATGGTGCATGGCTATCGTTGGTGCCAGTTGTATTTTAGAAAAATGCTAATAATCGCTTCCGCAATTAATCCCAGTGCGTGTGCATACAAGTCCGAAATAAAACATTTACGTAATACGTTCGAAATTAATCTGGATCTTCGATTGGTCTGCGATGATTACTTATATTATAATTTGTGTTTAAAACATTGCCTCGGTGTTTATAAAATAATTATTTATGTAATATTTACGCGAAACCTAAGTGAAAGAAAAGTGATTATATATATATATACATATACATTGATTGCAAAATGTAAATAAAAATTTGATTTTTTTCCTTTCTGACGTAGCAATATTAGTTTCACGATATGAAAGAGAATTGCAAAGTCGGAGAACGTATTTTGGCGTGAACGACGTTTTCAATATTTCGTTCTTTTCTACCAATTTGTCTCTTGCCGCGTTGCGAATGAAATTCTCGTACACTATTCGTTTTTCGACACGAGGAAGAAAGCCGGGACGCATGACAGACAGCGACATTGACAATCGATCTCGGAAATTCATTTTCGTTTAGACTTATGAGAGTATACTATACTTGTAATTTCCTACCAATTCTGCTGCATATTCGCACGAGGGAATCGATTTTCAAGCTTATTTTAAATAACGTGAGATCTTATCTCGTTGATGCTCTATTAAACTCCCATAATTTCAATGAAATAAATGATAAAAGAAGGCAGCTGTTTAACAATATATATTCTCATCTTTTAACTTTTAACTTCTTACTTGACGTAGAACCGAATGCTAAATTCGAAATAAGTTGACTGTCAAGTTGCTACGAACAAATGAATTGCGGACGAGACAGTAAAGTTTCATTCACGAGAGGTATAAAAGTAAGTACGACTTTTAATAGTAGTTTAAGAACGTTTCTTGTTGAGCACATCCCTCGCGGATAAATCCTTGGAGGTACCTCATAGCATAACTTTCGTTCGCCAGGTTTCGTAGAAAGAGTTGACGCAGTAACCCTTACGAATGTAATTACGTTCACTCTTCATCGAAAAGATATGCGTGTCATGAGATTTGAGTGAAACTTTTATTATTACTTTCAGTTACTTTTGCAATATCATCGAACGATATAGCGATATATTGCACGGAAAGAAGTAGTTTTGCTGAAGTACGTAAAAATTCACCTATTTATACATTGATGTGAAAATAATTTTATTCGGACATTGTAATAAAATATACGTAATTATTTTGTACATCGTACAAAACTATTTTCAAGTCTAGCTATATTTTTAAATACTTTAGCAAAATCCTTCTTCCTGTGTCGTTTAAAAAGATTTGATTTTAAAGCAATTAACGAAGCTAGCGTAAAAATTAAAATTGAGATATATTTGAGAAAATACGATTTAAAGAATAATTGTGTTTAAATTTACGTAAGTATCATAAATAGAACCGTGAAAAATATGATAAAAAGTATATAACAAAATTCAGAACATCATTAATGTTTTTATTAACCTTCTCGTTGTTAAATTAGTGAAAAGGAAAACGATTTTAAATTATATATGAAGAATACTCTGTCAAAAATTTTTACTACCATCAAAAGCACTGCTAACATTTAGCTTCTTTCTAAGCAATCTTTTGTAGGACGAGCGCGCAACGAGCCGTCTCCGGAATGAAACGAGTATAAGGCGCATCGTTAAACACGTCGCGAGATATAATGCGTCACTTTAAGATGAGAATTATCTTTCGGGCGGTATAACGAGAGTAAGTCGCTGAAAGTCCTCGTGGTAGGGGGTTCGTGTCGACACATCGTGCCCGAGCATTAAGGTGCTTGTCATAAATATGAGGAGACACGCGTTCGTCTTCAATACCCGTAAAACTTCCGCAACGAGCCGCAGAGTTGGCGCACAAAATGAGAACGTCGCGAAATTACATGGACGCAGGTAAATTTACCGCTAGAAAACGAATGACAATACTTTATTCGTAAATAACAATGAGTTTAATGAGTAAAGCAATGTGACATGAAAATACGTGAGTATATGGTAACGATCCAATGTTATTAATGTAGGTCAACA